CCCTCAGCAAATCCCGTGACCTCTGCTCTCGTCATAGAAGTAGATTTCTTTGGGGAGAGAGGGAAAGCAGTGCTGTGATTTCTTTTACCAAGGACTCTTTAAAACCAAAGAGCCAAGACAAGAATGACTTGAAGCAGAAAGTGGCTTTTAGCAGGACAAGCCTAGCCTTGAAGATTCAACTCAGTCAGAACTGGTACCCAGGCCACAGGGACATGGTGGGGAGGGGCTGGGGGAAAAGCTGGCCGGCCCTGGGGGGTGTTGGTCATTAATCAAGCTCAGGCTGGAGAGGGAGCCAGGCCGAAGTTTGGGCTGGATGCAGGGGCAGGAAGCTGATGATGCAGGGGTGGGGAGGCAGGGAGCCAAAGCCAGAAGGGTGCATGGAGCTGGGTGGGGAGAACGGCTGGGGACCCGCACACTGCTGTCCCTGGGAGGAGAGTAAGGAGTCCCTAGTGACCCTGGGGGTTCTGCTCTGGGCGGATGGGGGTGCCATTTATGAGACTGACCAGGGGAGAAGGAGCTCCCAGTGTGACTCTAAATGGGCGAACACACATCCAGTTCCAAAACCTTTCCAGTCCAGCGTGGAGCTGGGCAGCTAGGAGGCACCCAGCAAACACACACAGAAGTGAAGTACATGGCCACCCCATGTGTTCCTGCCTCCCCATGTCATGGGCTTCCCTGCCACTGGAGGCAGGGGACTCTGGCCTGGGGGACCCTTCCTTATTGAGAGCCCCGCCATCCTGGCCCCTGCTCCCCGCCCCCCACCGGTCCTGCCCCCACATCCCAGCACAGAAACCCTTCAGTAGCCTGACAAAGAAAATCCTGCAATTACTTTTATATTCTCTGCCTGCTTTTGGGGGGTGGGAGGGTGCTGCCGTGATGTCTGTGAGGGCAGCCATGTGGGGCTGCTCAGGCTAATCCTCCTCCTGCTCATGTGATGACATGAGCAACATTCTGGTTCTATAGATTGGAAGTTCCTAAAATTACAAGGCATGGGTGACGTGCCATGCCCCTGCTGGACTTCCTGGGTCCTTGTTGGCAAGAAGGCCAGCTTCACTCTCTGCGGGGCTTTCTGGCTAATCGGCTACAGGCTATAGTTTTGAAAAATGTAGTTAATATTCCACAGTTTCTGTAAAGAGCCCAATACTGTTGAATCAACTCTGTGCAAATAGCGGTTGAAATAGCTCACTGGGGTCAGATCTCTCTCCGCCCCGCATCAGTCTGCCTCGCAGCTCCCCTTCCTCTGCTCTTCCTGCTGATCTGGGCAGTCTCCACACAGCTGGAGTGAAAGCCATGAACCGCTGATCCAGAAGCATCTTCCTGGAGATGTATCGGCAGAAGGTTGTCCTCCAGTACTAAGGGGACGTTTGACCCACGTGGAAGAGACCTCAGAGATATTCTCATCCCGCGGCACCATTTGACAGATGAAGAAACTGAGGCTCAGCCAAGTGAAGTGTCTGGTACCCAGGCACATGGTGAGGCAGGGGCACAGCCAGGGCTGGAGCCTAGGCCCGCTGACTTCTACGTCCCAGTCCTCCTCTGGTGACCCATTCCAACATTTAGCAGCTTTTACTGTTCCTGTCCAGACGCAAGATTGTTTTCTAAAGAGCTGACCAAGTCCCAAGATGCCCTGGAAGACTTGAAATCCTCTTGTTCCTGATGGCAAATCCCTCTCGCTGTCTCCTGCAGACAGTAACTTCTCCACCAGATGTGACACCCCAGGGGAGGGTTGGTGTCCCCACGGATATCAGAACGAGTATGAATGTGTTCCCTGGACCTCAGGGCAGTGGGTCCCTTCAGATCGCTTCCAGACCCTCCCTCATGGCTGGGGGCCATGCTGCCGCCCTGGCTGGCTTGTGGACTCTCCCGGCTTTGCTTTGCAAGATTCCAGCCCTTTCTGTGACTGGCAAGAGAGGAGCCCTCCATTAGTGGAAGCAATACTGCTCCTCTCCTGGGCTGCATTTTTTACAGCCCCCCCTCCTTCCCCTGGGAGCCCCATGGGGGGGGGTTCCCCTTTTTTCATAATAGGACTTTCATCCCTTTAGACTGGAAACTCTGCTCCTCAATTACCCCACTTTCAACCCCAAAGCAAACACCCTCGCACAGACAGGGAAAAGGATGATGGAGTTCAAGTTCTGAACAAGTGTCAAGAGCTATCCAGGCAGCTACACTCAGGGCAAGGCCCCCGAATCTTCCAGGAAGCAGCTTCTTCTGTGAGATTCAGCACAGCACCACCTCCTGGGGGAGAGGGGCAGGACACTCTGACCCTCCATTAAATATGGAACCCAAGCTTCGGTTCTCCGAGGAGCCACCTGGGAACTTAATAAAATATTCACGCCTGGATCCCACTCCCAGAGATTCCAATTGGCCTGGGGTGTGGCTTAGGTTTCTTGGAACAGAAGAAAGGAGTCTCCTGGCTGCAGGAGACTCTGCAGCCAAGGCTGAGAAATGCCACCTTCTCTGGGTGTCAAGGTGGAGGAGGCCTTAGAGACCTGTCTACACCAGGGCTCACTACGTGCTACAAGATTAGACTTCAGACCCCAGACCTGAATACGTTATTTTACGTGGCTTACCATTTCTCTGGCCAAAGTGTCCAAAGATTTCTATCAGATTTTCAGTGGGTTCCATGTCCCCCAACAGATAAAGTGTCCCCAGTTAAGCCCACACATGCCCAGATGGAGGGTCCTGAATCTGATTCTCAGCCTATGGGGTTGACAAACCTAATGGATAATGGATCATGTGTATATTTCTATAAAGAGGCTACACCCATTAAAAGATCAATGCAAAGTGGTCACATTGACTGTTTCATGCCGCTCAGAATCTCTTCCTGGCACTCTCATGTGCCTTTGATTAATAAAAAATGAGAAATGAATTATTGCTTAATTAATGCACTGTATTTGGTAGGCAAAAGCCTTCAAAATATAAGATCCACAGGAAAAAGTAATCAAAGGAGTCCTTGGTGGTTCTAGGCTGGGCATCACGAGTCTGAGATAACCCCTTTACTGGAGATAGGAAGAAACGGACTCTCTTTAGGTCACATAGCTAGCTATGAAAACTTGGGACCCTTACCCAAGCCTTTCAGTCACACTGGGGGCAGGGGACAGAAAGAACATATGCAAGCTATTTTGCTGGAAAGCCTCACTGGACACAGTTCCCCTAAATCAGACTCAGGAACTCCCTCCCTGGTCATGGAGGCTGTACGGGTCAGAGAGAGCCTACACTCACAGAGAATTTCAAAACCTATCGTAGTCCAGGATTTCACTGGATCTGAAGATACCACCAATTGTGAGATACACCGTTCTTTTCTGTACCACTAAGAAAATGTGCAGCCAAGTATAATCGTAAGATGCATCTCAGTTGTAGAGATGTTCAAGTGGGGGGACAGGGCAGGTGGGGGAGATGTGCATCATGGAATTGAAGGACTGCGGCACCTTAGCCTCTCCCATTCCATTTGGAGAGGCGCAGCTGTGTGATGTCCTTCTACCTGCTTCTCTTACCTGCTACCTGCTGGAGGTGCAGAGGAGGATAAAAAGCACATGGAAGAAAGCAGACAGATTTCAAAAGCAAAGTGAGTAGCACAGTGGACCCAGCCCAACCTGTGGAATCTGAGGACAGAAAACCTGGCTTTGAATCTCAATTCTGAAACTTTCTAATGGTGTTACCTTGAGCACATTCTTCTCTCCAAGCCTCAGTTTCTTCATCTGCAAAACAAAGCTACGTGCCCCACCCCCACCCCGCCCCGCCCCAGAACTGCAAGGCTCAGAAGAGAGAGTGCTGGGCTGCAGGATGTAGGTGCCTCGGGCACGGTAAGTGCCCAGAACCACCTTCTGCTCACTCAGCTGACGCTTGTGAGTGCCGGGAACAGACACTGAAATGTCAGGGTGGGTTACGCAGAGTCATTCTGGGATGGACGGGAGCCCCTTGTGTGCATGGACCCAGCCAGGGAAGCTTGTGGAGCTTTTGATACACTTGAGGGAGATTCGCCACCCATCTGAGGAAGAGAACCCACCTTTAAGTGAGGCAGGGAGACTAGAGGCCACACAGAAGTCTGCCTTCCCAGGAGCAGAAGGCAGAGATGGTCAGAGGTCCCAGGGGTCCTGCCCCCCACCAACACCCTGGGCAGACAGCCTAATACTGCCCCATCCGGCACCTTGAGGACACACACACGCACACGCACACACGCACGCACACACTTCTGCTGAGCATACAAGTCACAGAAAGGGTCATTCAGCCTCCGTGCAGAAAGAACCAGGCCAGAGAGGCATCCCAGCTCCGTGCCCCAGGTACCCTTCCTAGGGAGCCATCGGCCTGACCTGCCAGTCAGCAGTGCCCTGTCCCTGCCTCCTTCTCGGGGCTGGAAGAAAATGGGACCGTTAGCAAGGAAGAAATCTCTCCCAGTCCTCCTGCTGCCTCAGACCGACTCCAGCTTGTGCAGCGTGTGTCCGTTCAGTGGTGGAGGGAGGCAGGGTGGCTCTGAGTTCGAGTCCTGACCCTGCCGCTGCCCCTAACTACCCCTAACGGTCCCTGACCAGAGGCAGGACCTTGGGCAGTTGGCCTTTCCTCTGTGGGCCACAGTTTTGTCATCTGTAGATAAGATGAGAAGCCCTGGCGTGCTCCCCACATGGACAAACATAAGGCTGAAATGGGGCACATATGAACATGCCCTACCGGGAAACGTGGGCCAGCCCAAGGAGCACTGGGGGAGGAAGGGCATTGCATTTCCTGGGGACACAATATGGTAAGAAGTACGGACTTGGGAATCAGCCTCAGATTCAAAATCGGTTCCTGCCACTTGCTTAGGTGTGTGACTGTGGACGAGTCTCCTAACTTCTCCACGCCTCAGTTTCCTCATCTGTGGAATGGGTGACCAAACTATTCCCTCGGGCTCTTTGAAGGACTGAATGAGATGGTGCATAAAAAGCGCCTGGAGCGTGGTGGGCGCTCTATCGATGGCAGCTGTGGACCTGCGGCGGCCACCTGCCCTGACCTGGGCTTTCCTGCAGGTGGGCGGGGCCGCCGTCATGGCCGTGGGCGTCTGGACCCTGGTGGAGAAGAGCGGCTACCTCAGCGTCCTGGCCTCCAGCACCTTCGCCGCGTCCGCCTACATCCTCATCTTTGCAGGGGCCCTTGTCATGGTGACGGGCTTCCTGGGCTTCGGCGCCATCATCCGGGAGGACAGGAGCTGCCTCTCCATGGTGAGTGCCCTGCTGGCGCCCCCAGCCCGCATTCCGTCCCCACATCGTGCTCCTGTACTGAGAACCACCCCCATGCCGTGGAGGCCCCTGGAATGGAGGCCTCGGGGAAGCCAGAGAGGGATGGTCACCCTGGGGTCTGGTGTTGGCCACAGTCTCTAGGTTCTTAGCACCTAAGCCAGTCTTGGTGGCCCCTTTACCCTACCTTTCCACCTCCCTCCTCCCCCTCCTCGTCCTCCTCCTTCCCCTCCTCGTCCTCCTCCACCTTCTACTTCCAGATTTTATCACACCGCTTTTCAAAGATATGCAGAAATGAATGTGATAATGAAGCACCCTGTCCCATCACCCACACTCAACAACTACCATCTTCTGGTTCATTTGTCCCCTCCCTACTCCCTCTCCCCGCTTGGCTCCCAGACAGCAAGTGGTCTGTAACATTTCAGTGTGTCTCCCTCGAACGAAAGGGTCCTTCTTTAGAAAACATGACAACACCATGATCACATCAAAAAAATTACCAGTCATTCCTTAATATCATGAAATAACCAGGCAGTTTCAAATTTCCCCAATTGACCCATAAACTGTTCTTTTCTTTTTGCAGTTTGTTTGACTCGAAACCTAAATTAGGTCTGTGTATTAAGAGTGGGCAATTTGTCTCCCGAGTCTCTTTCAGGCTCTTAGTTGCACCACCCCTCTCTCTCTTTCTCTCTCTCTCCCCCCCATCTCTCTCTCTCTCTCTCACCTTCTTTGCAATTTATTTGTTGAAGGAACCAGGTCATCTGTCTTATGGATTTTCTGATTATATCCTTGTGACGTTGTTTAACATGTTCTCCTGATAGTTGAATCTAGAAGCTTGATCAGACACAGGCTTGGTTGTCGGGGCAAGAGGATGTCACAGGTGATGCTATGGGCAGCACAGGCTCCTTGAAGCTGGGAAGACTGTCCATCCAGAGCCGGCTAATTGTGCCGGGAAAGGAAGCCAGGGCGGGACTGGCCGGGGCAGAAGCCAGACCCACCCCCTTGCACTGTTGGCCAGGGCAGGCTCCCTGGTGCCTGGGTGGAGCCTCCCGCATTTGATCTCCTCCCAAAGGCCAAGCCCAGTGGGAGCAGGGGAGGCTACAGAACATGTGGACTTAGCAGGGAAGGGCCTGAGCCAGAACGAGCCCGAGTGTCCATGAGAAATCAGGTTGAGCCTGAATGGAATCAGGTCACAGGAAGGAACCTCGAAGGCTGTGCTCTCCCGCCCTGCTTCCCTGTAGCCTTTGCACATCCAACCAAGAAAGCAGGAGACGACGGGGGTGCCGTCCCTGAAGCCTCTCTCACCGGTGGTGACCTAGTGTTTTAGCTGTGGATATAAAAGTGCTGTGTACAGGCTCAGTAGGATGACTCTCCCCTGCCTAGGGAAAGCTCTTTCATCCTGCTCTGAGGATAGCCCAGAGCCAAGACGCAGGTCACATGGATGGTGGCACCCCAGACGGGTAAAGTCCCACAGGGGACCAGCCACCAGAGCGCGGGCTTTGACGTGAGCAGTGGGACGTGGCAGTGGGACGGCTGGGCCCCTCGCCAGCCGCACACCTGCCAGCCCCCCTCACGTGGCCAGGCGTGAGCCCTCGCCAGCCTGCTGGACATCCTGATCGTGGGCGGCATCAGCTGAGTGGAGTCCCTAGGCGTGTGGTATGGGCCGGGCAAGATGCTCCAGCCCTGATGGGGACTGAGGCTTACGGGGACCGGTGCTGCTGGGCCCAGAGCGATCCTCTTCCCTACATTCTCAGTGGGTCTACCTTTCCTCTGCTCAGCCCTGACCCTTTAGGACATGGGGCCTTCAACTTGGCCTCAGGCTTCAGGCTGAGCCCTGTGGCCCACGGAGGCAGGCTGCTGAGCCGTGTGATCACCAGCCCTTCCTTCCACAAGCTGATCTTATTGTGGAAGAGACGGGACGCACCTCTACAGTCCAGGAAGGAAGGCCGAGGCCCTCACTTGGGAACCTTCCTTTTCACTCAGAGTCGTCTGTCTTGGCTCTAAAGGAGCCCCTAAGACCAGTGGTCCCCTACAGCCCTGGGAAACAGCCCCCTGCTTTCCACCCAGGGCGCAATAACACGAATGGACACTGCGCACTGAGAGCCACCTCCCTCTGTCCTTAACACAGCAGCCCTGCAAAGCCACAGCCCCTGTGAAGTCTGCACCAGGCACTGTTCTAAACACTGTTGCATTTGCTTGTTTCAGCCTCACCCAGGCCTATGAGGTATTTACTCTCTCGGCATGCATTTTAGGGGAGGAAGCTGGGCCGCAGAGAGGTGAAACCATTTCCCGGAGGCCATACTGCAGTGAGCAGCTGGGTCTGCCTCCCGGGCCAGAGTTCGTACCCCCCCAGCCAGCCTGCCTCGGGGAGGCATTATTCACCCCACCGTTCCGATGAGCAAGCTGGCCCAGGAGGTGCGGAGCGAGTAAGTGCCGGAGCTGAACTGTGAAGCCCAGTCTGTTAGAATTGCCAACAAGAATACACATCCCAGGGAGGCCCGGCAGGATGGGAGGCAGAGGGACGGGAGGCCAAGGGGAGTAATGTGGGCAGAGGGGCGCGCCGTCCTCCGTATCTGTGGATGTCCGCACAGAGTAGCTGCTCCCAGAGATCTGTGTGGGTATAAGAGGGAGCTCCCGCAGGGCGCAGCCAGAATCCTAGGGCAGGAGACTGGGGGGCGGGGGGTGGGCACCCTAGAAGTTCCTTGCACTCGTTATAGTATGGAAATAACAGTGTGTGTCAGCGCATGCCCCGGGTAGAAGGGAACTTGAGGGCCATTGGGTCCAACACTCCATCCAGACATTTCAGTCTGAAGACAGTGGGCCACCTAGGCATTAATGGGGGATGCTCAGCCTTCTCGGCTCCTTTGGAGACCAGTCCAATCATAAGAGCTCCTCCCCTTGGCAGCCTCAAAGATCAGAAGGAAAGCCTAAGGGTCAGTAACTGGCAGCCTTCTGCTCTGCGACTCACCCATCACAGCCCCCTCGTCTTTACTCCCTTCCTCTACCATCCATTAGCAAGTTCTGCCCACCCTCCAGGCCCGCCATCAAGAAAACTGATGTCCCCAGCATCCAGTCACAGCCTGCCTGGGGGGACCAAGCTCTGTACCCAGGGCTGTGCAGGGAAGATGCAGGGAATTCTGGAAGGCCAGGGCCTCTGGCTTGCCTGCAGGACGGCGCACATGTACCTCTCAGCTCGCCCTTCTGAGTTTCAGAGGGTCAACAAACTAGAGGCTTTCTCATCCCCCTGGGCCTTGAGGCAGAGCTGGGGGCACAGGGGCTGCTGGGAAGGCTGGTGCTAGACAGCCTCCTTCTTCTCAGCCCCCTTTACCCCCTCCCCCCCGGCCTGCTCTCACTTCCATCGCAACAGAACTTATCCAACACCTCCACCTCTGTGGTGTGACACCAACCAGACACATGACCAGCTTGGAAGCGAGGGCAGGGAAAAGTGCCCAGGCACAGCTGCCGGCCCAGGGGTCCGGGGGCAGCAGGCTAGCAAAGAGCAGACTCGAATCCTGAAACCTTCTCCCTTCGCTTTTCCCCGCCAACCCTCTGGAAGAACCAAAGATAGAACCGTCCTGAGGACAGAACACAGGTGAAGCAGTGGTTCTGAGTCACCCACATCCTGGCCAGTCAGCCCCCGAGTCATTGAGCACTTGACTGTTTCACCAAAAAGGTGGCTAAGACAAGTAGGACATTTTCAACCCAGGCTCCCGTTTGGGGGCAGGCAATGTGGTGAAGGCAGTTTGAAAGCGTTCTGTGGTTCCTGGAGGCTCCTTGCTGTTCTCATTTCATTTCTCCCCCTCCTTGTCTAACTTCCCTTTGAAATCTTTCATCAGCTAAAGGCTGAAGGAAACTCCAAAGGAGGAATGCAGTGAGTCTGGCTCTGCACAAAGTGGTCCCCAAAGAGGAAAGGGAAAGATGAAAGACTGGGCATCTGAGTGATGTGCGCCCAGCCTGGATCAGGTGGAGGGCCAAGCCGGACATCCAATGTTCCCCAAGAACGAGCCGGGATGGGATGGGGTGGGGTGGCCCTGCTCACATGGCGCGATGTCCGTCCTGGTCCGAGCCCTTCCTCCTAGCACATCTGCAGCCCCTAAAGTCACTTTCCCAAGAAGGAAGCATTCATCAGGGACAGGAATAGCACATCTTTGCTGGCGCTGAAACGTGGCCGGTGTGGCATGGGAAATCTGCGGAGGGGAAAGGGAATGGGGTTTAAATTATTCACGCCAGATCTTTTGTTTTAGCGAAGGCTGCATGCGGGAGCCAGATAATTCAGGCCATCTAAGCCTAAGGCCGGTGACCAGGACAGATGCCACCCTGATCAAAAGGGATATTTTTAGAGTTTTGAATACGGGCTCTGAAAACTTTTATATCTTAAGCCAAATGAAGATGATAATGGATAGTTCAGGCTAAACTGGGTCCTCGTCAGGGGCTCTTTTATATTGAGGGGATGGATTAGAGCGTAAGAAGTGCTAGAACCAATTTCTGAAAATGAGGAGACCCCAGATTGCAACACTTCCATCAAGTATATTAAGAGCTGGTTAACCAGGGCAAGAAGGTCTAGAATCAAGGACTGTGGTTCAAAAGCACCTTGTAGCATAGCTTGCCCAACTCACTCTGGGACTCAGGAAGGTCGCTCGGCCACTTCTGGCCACCTTGGGATCCCTATCTTTATCTGGGGGTAAGGTATGACGAGAATGAGGGAGTGTTCTAAAGAGGAAACGAGTCACCACATTATATAAAGATCATCAAATGTGGCTATAATTATCATTTACATCACCATCACCATGACCAAGCTCCTTTGAGAAGGAACCTAAATAAATGAAGTTATTCTTAGGGCCATTACTCCCAGGGTCCCCACAGCTTGGACGGGACCACTTCCTTGATGGGAGCTGGTCATGGAGGAAGGCTCCCAATGCCCAGGGAGAGGGAGGGAGTTGACCGCATCTCCCCATTGCTCATTTCTCAGCCTCACCTTACTTTGTCAG